TGTATATTAATAATGCAGCATCCATAATTGTGACATTAAAAGAATCTATGCAAATCAGGAAAACCTGGCAGTATAACTGTGTGTGTGAAATATATGAACTTTGTACCCTTGACATAAATTATATATATATATATATGCATATATATATACATATATATTAGGTGAATATATGTATGAATGTATATGTAATATTTACCTAAAATGATTGCACAATTCTAAGCTATGTACCTTAGGACCACAAAATTAGGGTGAGGCACGATTGCCTCATGGCAAAATCCTTATCTTGCATGCATTATGATCCCATATTTGTGCAAGTTTGTATTCTGGCTGCTCCACTTCCCTTCCAACTCCTGCTTGTTACCTGGGAAAGCAGTGGAAGATGCCACATAGTGTTCATACTCTGTGCCCACATGGAAGACACAGAAGCAGCTATTGGCTCCTGAATTCAGATTGGCTAAGCTCCAGACATTGCAGCAACTTTGGGAGTAAACCAGCAGATGCAAAATATTTCTCTTTGTCTCTCCTTAGCTCTGTAAAACTGCTTTTACAATAAATAAATCTTTTTGTTTCTCAGATCCCTTTTTTTATGTTAGATAATGTTTACATAGTTAACCACAGTAGGAAGGATCTAGGATTAGGGAGAAGTGAGTGTGATCATTGTTTCCAAGCATTCTATTTTTTCTTCCTATTTCTGTGGGGAGTTCAAAGATAAGGTTAGGAACCATACCCAGCCCCCATATCATCCCAGTAACCGAGGATGAGGAAAGAACACCCAATATCAACCCACAGTCATATGGCACTTATTCTAAAGGTCTGCCCATGTGGATGTGACAGTTTTAAAATGCTGTAGATCTCAGCTATCTATGGATGAGAAATCACTTCCCATGCCCATTGACTGACACCATTGACATTATAGTCTCCAATTGCCCAGAATTTTGCAGTCATTGTTTGGCTGGGTATGGTTCATATGTTCTGTTCTCCATTCTCTGTTATGATACTGCAGGCTGCAATGAGCTACCATGTCCTCCATGTGCACCAGGGTCTGATGTACACTACATGTTCCCCTACACTGAGGAGGACAAGTTCAATTAGGTAGGCTCATGGACCTGAGGCAGGAGACCAGAAGTCCCCTAGACTGGAAGTCATGGACCCAGTGGCCATTTCGTAGAAGGGCTGATGGCCCCAGGCCATAAAACCCAGCACCTGCCACCTCCTCCCCCAGCATCACTGGAGCTCATGGACCTGGCCACATCACTCAGGTGGCTTGATGACTTGAACCAGGAGGAACAGGCCCCTCTAGGTCCCCTAGCCTTGGGTATATGGATCTATCATTCACCGCACAGATGGACCAAAGGACTTAGCTAAGAAAGTCCATGCCCTTCTGGACACCCCAACACCAGAGCTCGTGGGACTGACACCCATTATGTAAGTGGTCCCTAAGACTTGTGCCAGGTGAGCCGGGGACAAGACTGGCCCCACAACTGTTGAGACTCATGAGTTCAATATCGACCATGCAGGTTGGGTCAAGACACCAGGCCATGCAACCCAGGACGCACTGGATCCCCCAACTCTGGGGCTCACAGAACTGGTAATCACCATGAAGTCTAGCTGAATGGCCTGGAGCAGCAGACTGGACCAAACCTGGTCCCACACACTTGAGACACACAAATCCAGCCCCTACCGAACAGCTAGGCCAAGGGACATGGACCTAGCGACCCAGGCACTGATGGACCCAACACACCCAGGGCTCATAGTCCCAAAACCAACTGTTTTGGTGGATGGGAGCAGACTGAGCAGGGCCAGATTGCAGCACCTGTCAGCAAGAATCAGGACTGGTTGCAGGCAAGATCAGGCCTGGCTGCGTCACACAAAGCCAAAGGCCAAAACAGGTGAGAAGCTATACAAAGCTGGGCCTGATAGGGGTTATTCTACCTCACTCTGACTAGGCTGCAACTCCCATCAGCTAGCATGAAGGCTGAATGTGCGGCAAAAAGGATGTGACTAAGCTGCAACACACATTAATTTGCTCAGAAGACAGAATTTGAGAGTACTGACCATTGGAACTAACGCTGTGTGCATAGGCCTATTTGGATTACAGACTGCCAGACCCTGTATTGACAATAGGGTCTGGGATTACTTCATAACGTTTCTTTTGGAATCCCGCCAACTGAAATGCTGGAGAAAAAGCTCCAACCTTAGAGGAAATTGCTGGTTCCCTGGTTGGAATATGGAATGCAGGTGTCAGATTTGGGCCTCTTCAGTGGCTTAGAAGGAGCAGTGGACAGTATATAAAGTTGCATATGGACGATATGGCGTATACTGGAGCCTGCAGAGGACATATGGAACCACAGCAGAGGATGGAGGATTTGCTTCTTGTCATACAGTGTCTGGGGGCAGTTTGCTTTCACCCCTGAATTTCCTAGGCATCCTCTGGTGACCTGCGGGCAAACATGGGAGCTAGAGGAGTCGGCCTGGGATTTTGCTCAGATGAACAGGAGACGGCAGAGCGGAGGGAGCCTGGGGTCTTTCACTCACTCTCACTCTCTTCATTTCAAATTAAAAAAATGTTTGAAACAATGCCCAAGATGGATGCAGAAATTTCTTAGGCCAAGAAATTCTGTACAGAAAGCCATGAAAAAGAGACACAAGGAAAGGCCTCAATGCATTCGTTTAGGGCTGATAACAAGTCATAAATCACTTGTACAAGGGACACAATCTACATTTCTGTACTGTCTCATCATTGGATTTCCAGTTGGCAATTGGGTGTCTGCAAAAACACAGAACAATGTTGTGCTTGAACTGACAGGGAAAAAATTCTTCTCAATTTTTTGGGATATAACAGTACGACAAAAGGAAAGTCATGCCTGTCCCTAGAACAGGGAACAGAAAAAAGTATAGTATATACCAAATTTGCACCTAAGTCATAGCATATTTTAAAAAATTTTCTCCTACTAATTTGACTTCAAATGAAAAGAGCACATGGCAATTTTACCTTCTTAGCACTATACATCACAGAGATGTGAGAACAATGTAGTAACAATTCTTATTTTCACTGGCTTCACCACAGTTCCCACTGTTGCCACCAGAGTGAATGTCTCCTTATTCCACTTTGAAGTAATGATGGACTTTATGTTTAGAATTGGATCACTAACAGGTTCACATCTGAAGCTTCTTGATGAAAAGATAAATACACAGGAGAAAAACACCGAAATGCAAGAAGATGTAACATGCAGGATCTATTTAACCATAGTCACCTCTGTGTCCCTGGTCATTGGGAACAACAATGCTCCATTTTTCAAAATACAGACGGGCACACTGAAGCAGTAGAGTTTTATGATCTGACTCATGAGAAAATGACTACAGTAGGGGACACTGAACTTCCTTCTGCTGCTTTCCCAATGTCCAGAGTCCATATGGTAGAAGTATGTGTCCTGATTTAGATTGATATCAACACAATGAGGTCAGGAGAGTCCCTCACTGCATTTCTCTGTCTGATCAGGCACATGAGTCTACAGAAAGAGAAAACTCATCAAAATGCATTAAAGGGATAATCCATAACTCTGCACATGGCACAGAAATTGGAAGAGGAAAGGCACGATTATTGGGGAGTGGATAGTGGGGCAGTTCCTTAGTCCAGAAATACAAGTAGTCAAGAGTGTTGCCATAAAATTCTCTTCTTCACAACTCACAGGGCAACATCCCTGAGGCTGATAGTAGGAATGACTGAAACTCAGAAAGTTCCCTCCAGAATCCAGCTAGTCACTCTGAGCAGTGACCTCTAGGGATTTGATCTGAAACATTGAATTTACCACATTGTTTCTGAAATGTATTGAGCACTCTAGGAAGAAATGATTTGATTAGCACACATTATTGATACAGAATAATGGGCCACACTCCGATGTCTCAATACGTCTACCAGCATGTATTGATCAATTCAGATTAATTAGCACAGACATTGTACATCACTGCTTTTACACTTGGGGCCTTTAAGTTCTTCTAGCTCTTTATTAAAAAAGAAAACAAAAACCTGTTAGTATGAACTGCAGTCACCCAGCAGAATGTGATGTGGAGCATTCGCAATTATACCTTCCATTTAGCCATGTTGGGACCTGTTGTCCAATTTTGAAAACACTACCTCTCCTCAATATTCTCCACAACTGCACAGCAATTCTCATAGGCTTTTTTCAAAATAGCCATCATAACTGGCAGGAGGTTACTTTTCATTGTCATTTTGACTTGCATTACCTGGTGACTTGAAATATTGACAATTTACTCATATTCTTTATTCTGTTTGGAAGTTCTATGGAGAACTGTCATTAATTTCTCAGTTTTTGGTCAAGGTACTTGGGTTTTGCTGTTGAGTTCCTTATATGATCTGGAAAATGATGAACAGTGTTTAAATATCCTCTCCCTGTAATATACCTTAAGAATCAATGTGGAATTCCTGAAGAGGCATCCCACAGTGTGCTCATGTGGATGTAAAATGTCAGCCATTGGTTCTCACTGATTCAGTACCATAGATTGCCATTTAAATAGCAAGAATGTATTAGAAGAAAGTTCTAAAAAGAGATTGGCATACTTAGTGGATATTTATTCTAGTAAATACACACAATAAAAAATACAAATGTCACCATGAGGACGACCTCATTTAATCAAATATTTTTATTAGTATTATTGAGAAACTACTAAGAATGTTATATGGTGTGATCCAGCTAAACAAGGGATGAGAGGACTAAAAGGAGATGGAGAGAGAAGATTAAGAATAACCAGAGAGTTTGAATCTACACATCTGGCACTGATTTAGTCAGCTCCTCTCTATTACACAAAAGAGAGTCCTCTGCACACACAGATGGCTCAGTGTGCCCATTCCCTGCAATGCTTCCTTCTGTGCCACAGATTGGTTACAACATTATTCCTAACCATTATCATCAAAATGCATTGAGGTCTCTAGTGTTTTGTGTACATCTTCCTTGAAGAGCAAAGACAAAGTCCACACAAAATCAAGCTTGATGTACAGTCCAATTTCTTGACACAACCTTTAGAATAATGGGCTTCGCAGGCTTGAGGAGACCATGTGTGGTTAATTTCAGGGGAATCTGCAACAATGAAATAAACATACAGAGCATCAGAAAATTAAGCACAATCAATAACAGAAGCAAAAAGAAAAGCTACAAGAATAATGATACTGAAAAATACTAACATCATTCCTGACCATATGGTTGACACATTTAGAAAAGTCTCATGAAGTTAATTTTTCTATGTGGAAACGAAAATGACTCCTGTGTGGATAACATATTTAAAGTGTATAAATAATTCTGAACTTATGGAAAAATCAATTGCATTTAGTAGTGATGCGAAAGAAAATATGTGCTTTTTTTCTAACATTCCTTTTTGTTTTCCAACTGTAGTGTGAATTGTAAATGCAGGAATTCTGAAGTTGTGAAGAGCTTTCATGAATCCTCTTCACGTCATTCTCAGGGATCCATTCATTTAGTGTGGGGAAGCAGGCAGTTGTTCTTATCTCAGTAAGGGGATGAGAGTTGCAGCAACTGCTCACAACATGAGCAAGAGCAGCATGAAGATGACTGGAAGCCTGCTAAGCAGGAGGCATCCCATAGCACGTGTGGCAGAGACCTGCTTTCCCCAAGTGATGACTCCTTTTCTTCACATACTTATAAATTACACACTGAATTTCAGTTGGTGACCAATTCTACTCTCCTAGGTTCCTCTGTAAAAATCATAGTGAAATCAGGGACATTGATGTTAAATGCAACTTAAACTCTAGACATAAGTTTCCTAGGGCCTTCCCTGGTAGGAATCAATGTGCCCACACTCTGTAATGACACTCTGCCACAACTCATCACAGGACCAAATCCAGAGAAAGATGGAAAAAGATGAACACTGGATTGTTCCTGACAACCACTAGAATTGGGATTTTCAGCAGCCATTCCACACAATCACATGGCTGTTCAAGCCTCTGTTATTGCATTTTCATGGTATTAACGGTTTGCATTTGAAGATAGAATCAAGAGGGCTATAAACTGAAACATCCTGGGAGAGGAATTAAAAACACTAAAACTAAAGTAATCATAAAAATGAAAATATTCACCTGAGCGTTACAAAAGTATGTACTTCAGAACATCAACATGTAACAATTAATTTGCCTTCTAAGGCATAGGCAAAGTCACAGATTAGTTCTCATCTATCTTGATCATCACATTGGAGTTCTGAAACAAACCCGACACATGTGATGCTGATGATCAAATAGAATGAGCTATTGATTCTCACTGATTCCGTTCTATAACTTCTCACATTAATTGACATGAAGGTAAAAGATCATTGTTTACTATGAACACAGCCAGTGATCATATTTAAATTTGAAATTCCATTTATTCATATCCATTGGAGAAATACACTGAGATCTCTTGATAATATTGTTTCAAATAAATATCAATTCAAAATCAAATCCTTCTATAAGCATGTTTTTTTGCATGCTGTCCCTGGGATGAGCCCCGTAAAGCATTTTATTGAAGATTTATTCAAGGACACAAGTGACACTCAAGACTATAGGTTTGAGGAAGCATTCAGAGATGTAGGAATAACAGAACCAAACCTCATGATGTAATGACAAAATATTCTACTCAAACACACAGTTTTTTTTTTAAAGTGGCCAGAAAAGCATTTTCACTACATGAAGTACACTAACCTGAGTTTCCTCACAAGGCTTGAAGGAGAAGTTCTGCATTAATCTGATGAGAGCAAGTTTTAAATTGATGAGAGCAAACCTCCTGCCAATGCAATTTCGAGGACCAGCTCCAAAGGGAAGGTATGCGTAAGGATGCATTTTGTCCTTGTTTTTCTTATTGAACCTGATTCCACAACAGAAATGAGCACACGTTAGTGATGCTTAGAACCACAAGAATCACTTAGTTGGAGTTATCAATTGGACCTGTGAAATAATTATGGCTTGGCCATTCAAATGTTAGTGTTATTGAGCTTTAAGTGTTCTAAATTGGAGAGCTGTTCCATTTAGCAATTGCCCTCATCACACAGGACTTTTCTGTCTTGTTGGTGAGATAATGTGAGTGCTGTTTAAAAAGACACTTACCTTTGCACCTTAAAATTACATGAAAGGTGGTGATGAGTTCACATTTTGGAACACATATGGGAAATGAGGATGGTGGATGGGAAAGCAGGTTCCTGCTTCAACTGACAACCATGTGGACATATGTTAACTAAGGAAGAAGATGATGTCTCCTAGTATCTAAACAAAACTTCCCCCCATTTTCTCTCTTCTCCAACTTCCTTCCCACCTGTCTTCCTCCTCATTCTCTTTCACCTTTCTTTCACTTCACTCCTTATCCACATACATATTCTCTTTCTAATCTCTCCATCAAATACTCCGACATTACTCCCCACGGCATACTCCTTCCCTCTTACCACAATTGTTTGAGATACTGACATGACATCTGATGCTATCACACTTTAATAACATCAGTGATATATATTTCTGCAATCAGGCCATAAATTATTAGAATATAAAGTGATTTTTGTTCATACAATTACTGAATAATTGATGGTATTGGGAAGATAATGATAATACTGGAAAATTACCATGGAATATTGTTCTTTGATTTTAAAATAGAGTTACAGTTTTGTACAATATTCTTAAGATTCTATAGTTTTTTTCTTCCTTTTCGAAACAGTAATCTCTCATTTTTATTGGAAAGTCAGATAAACATATAGGAAGAGTGACAGAGAGGAAGATCCCCATCTGCTCTTTCACTCCCAAAGTGGCCACATTGGCTGTAGCTGAGCCGATTCAAAGACAGGAACCAGAAGGCTCCTCTAAGTCTTCCACACGAGTGCAGGTTCACAACGCTCTATTCCATCCCTGATTGCCTCTCAAGACATAAGCAAGGAGCCGGATAGGAAACAGGGCTTCCAGTCACTAAGCAGCACTCACATGAAATCCTGGTGCATACAAGGCACAGATTTCAGCTGCAATGCCAACACACTGTGGCACTATTTGTTGTTTGGCTCACAATATCGTATCAACAGAGGAGGGCAGTAAATATTTTAGTCACAATAGCATATCATCAGAGCAATGTAGTGTATGAGAGAGCTGACATATGTTGTGGGTATTTGTATAAGTATTAGGCCCATGCAGATGCAGAATAAATGCCCCCATAGACTTGTGTTTCTCTGTTACATATGAGAATATTTCAAACATTCTCCAGCTTCAACATTGATAACATGCAATGTTCTTATTGTTTGGCCCAAGCACTGACACTTAAAGGTTGATGACTAAAGTAACCGAAGAGAACCCTACGGACTTATCACCTAGCATGAATGAAGCTACAGAAAGTAGAAGTCCTGACCTCAGGACACAAAGAATTCATCGCTTTGAAAACAAAGGGTTATATGAACATTAATTTACTTGACTCATAATTACCACATGAGCACTCTGTGCCAACAGTAGGGTCAACATGAAAATAATAAAATTTCTGCCAACAGAAAGTCCATGTGTAGGCGATAAAAATGTTTGCATCCCAAGACTTTGGACTTACAAATTTCTTCATTTTTCTTTACCAAGACAACAATGGTAGCTGATCAACCATTTCCAAAGTGTACAATGTCCAAAAGCATGACCTATATTACTGCTTCCAAGCATCGCAAACAGCTTTGAGAGACAGTGATTTCACACTGCAAGGATTCACCCATTACTAACTAAGCGTGTGGGCTGCCAGAAGATAGCAAATAGACAGCAACTAGAACCAGGTCCAGTGCACACAGACCTGACTGACTCTTCTGTCCATCCTCGATGAGGACTTCTCATTAGCACAGCCTGTGCTTTTACAATTGTTTTGCAGGAAGAGGGCACTGGATTCAAGGTGGAAAACTTGTCTATAAGTACAGTGACATTTCACAGCCAAAGTAATTAACATAAGAAAATTGGAAAGAATTTTTATAAGCCTGTACATCTAAAATAAATTATAGCTAACAAATTATAGCTAAATAAAAATATTACCAAAGCTATATGAATATTTATATGTGTATACTTTCTATGTATATCAGTAGAAGACAACATCCAGGATCCACAGTAATACACAATCCACACACTCAAGTTCCTAACAGAAAATTACATAGCATTTTCAGTGCCTCCTGTGTAATTTAAGCTCACGAGATGCAACAACTGCTTGGATTTAAGGATGACAATAGTACCCTTTCTCCAGTTACCACTTTGGGAATTTTGAAAACAATCATTATTTTTTCCATAAGCAAAACTACTAAAAATAATGGATACAAATGATTCTATTCCCACGAGTTCCTTGTCTTCATACAGATTTACCACATATGCTTGAGCCAGAATGTTTCCACATAGGTTCCCCTTTCCAGGGATCCTGTACCTTTCAGGGCGGAATTCACAAGGCTCTGTCCAGTACTTCGGATTTCGGTGGAAGACATAGATCGGAATTCCCACAATTGTCCCTTTGGGAATGAATATCCCATTTATTTCAATGTCCTTCTTGCATGTCCTTTCAATTCTGCTACCAATTGGGTATAATCTGAGTGTTTCATTCACCACCATGTCCAGATATTCCATCTGCATGACAGCATCGTATGTGGCAAGTGTCTGGGTAGAAAGAAACAGATTTTGACAAAATGAAATTTGAAATTAAAACAGATGTGTCTTCCATCCTGTTCAATGAACACTGCATTCACATGTGGAAAGTGGTTGCGCACAAGGAGATTTTGAGCACAAAAAACTTACCAGGCCCAGAAAACATAAGCATGGCCTTACAACACTCATGTTGTCTCATGTGTATGGAAGAGATAAACATTGGGCCTGGCATGGTTGCCTAATGACTAACAAACTTGCCTTGCTTGTGCCGGGGTCCTCAATGGGTGCTGGATCTAAACAGGGCTACAGCACTGCCAGCAAGATGGAACATTAAAAGCAGAGTATCCCTTAATCTGCCTCAGAATTTTCTCCTCAAAATGCTTTTGAGAAACTGCTTTGACCCCATATAAATTATCTGAAATGGCAAAGATTGGCATGTAGCAGGTGAAACCACCACTTGCAATGACACCATCCCTTATAAGGGCCAGGAGGTATCTATTCCATTTTCATCCATCTCACAGATAATGATCGGGAAATGGCAACATAGTGCATTGCAGGACTTTCTGTCTCTGTCACAATTGAGGGGAACAATAAGCATCTCTGATCCTGCTTTCATCCTGATGTCACACTTGTCATTGTGGACATAAAGGGTGGCAAGAAAATGAAAGATCTCTCTGTCCCTCCTTTTCTTTTTTTTGCTTTCTCTGCATTGTCTCTCAAAATAAATGAAGAAAGAAATAGTTTTTCTAATTTTCCTACTAGGACGCCCATTACTTTTTATATACATGTTAATATGACAATAAATTCAGATCAAGTGAGGTTCTACAGCGAAAGCAAACCACTTTCACTCCACATATTATTTCTAGAATAGTCCCTCGTGTATAGCTTAAGGCTGTGTTTATCTGGCCATGAAACAGCCATGCCATGCTAGATTCCAGGCTCCTTCACCATCAAGAGCAGACACCCTGAATCATCTCTTGCCTTCTTTAACACTGGTGGTGTGAATGGAGGATGCGTGTGCCAGGAAGCAGAGCACAGCCTGCCTCCCCATGCCAGTTCTGGACAGCCCAGGCCAGCCTCACTCACCCAGCAGCACAACCAGACAAAGTTCTGCCAATGGAAGCAGAGCTAATGACCACAGACTTGAGTAACAAAGACTCCTTCTAGCTGCCAGTATGGATTCTTGTAATTGACACGTAGGACAAACACTGCTTTACAAAATTGTTATAGTACTGTGAGTAGCACCTTCAGCCCTTTTTCAAAATGAGTTTTTCTCTTTAGATCATTCCTTTACTTGTAAATGAAGTATCTTCACTGAATACTTTGCAAGCAGTCCCCTGAACAGTGCTCTGGAGGCATTCTATCAAGACACTACTCCTGCCCCACAGTGCACCCATCCCAAGTACCACTCATTCACTCACCTTATTGGAAAAAGCTGCATCAATCTCCTGCTGCAGTTTCTGCTGAACATCAGGGTGAGTGGCCAATAAATATGTGATGAAAGAAAGAATATTGGTAGTGGACTCATAGCCACCAAAAAGAAAGGTAATTGACTGGGCTACCAATTCTGTATCAGTCAGAGCTAACAAGAGAAGAAAAGCATTTTAAGCAGAGTAGGTCACTGTGAATCACCCTATAGTAGATGAAAAATTCCATGTAAGAACAGATGTTATTGTACATCAAGTTAAACTACTGCCTACAAAAACAGCATTGGATTTGACTGCTGGATTCACGGCTAGGTTCCTGATTCCAATTCAGCATTATGGTACAGATTCTGGAAAGGAAAAAAAAATATGGCTCCACTACTTGTGCCCCTGAACATGCACAGGAGATTTCAACAGAGTTCCAGGTTCCTGGACTATCCCTGCCCAGCCTCTGCCATGGCACCATGTGTGGAATCAAGCACTGGTGGAGGAATACTCACTCTCTGGTTCCCACTTTCTTATTTTCATAAATAAATACTTAAAGGAACAAAAAGTTTACAAAAGTTTCAAAATTCTTGTAGGAAAATAAAACTGTGTAAGTACCCAACAGATTGGCTCAATTGGCTAATGCTTCACCTCCCATTGCCAGCATCACATATGGGTGCCAGTACTTATCCCAGCTCTTCTACTTCCCATCCAGCTCCCTGCTTACAGCCTGGGAAAGCAACAGAGTAGGATCAAACGTAAGGGTTATGCAGTGGCATGGGAGAGTGTGAAAAAGCCCCTGACTCTCAGTTTAGGATCGACTAAACTCTTGCCATTGGGGCCCTTAGAGAGTGAATCATTGGTTCAAGTCTTTTCTGTCTTTCTTCTGAGTAGCATTTCCAATAGGAATTTTAAAATAGAAAAAAATGAAGAAGAAATTCAATGTAAAGAAATGAATGTTATTCACACAATACCATAAAAAAAATGGCTTGAGTTCACTTTATCCTAGCCTACCCAATGCACTGCTATCCTCTCTTTATTACACCATCCTCATCACCAATTCAGCTAGGTGATGTCAGGAGAAAGCTTTTCTGTCACACATGCACACTGCAACCAGTACATCATTTGGATAATATGGAGTAGCATTGTCCTTAGGGAAAATACATTGAATTTTATTAAAATATTTGAAAACACTGAGTGTAAAATAATAAGACTTTACTGTATAAAAACTAAAGGATGTTTCACCTACATATATGTGACTTAAATTAATGGGGCAAGAATGGCTTACAGATAGAATTGTGTCATTTAGAATGTAGTCCAAAGATGAACTACACCTAGGAGCTCACAAAAAATTCAGATTTCCAGCAACAATTACACAGGACAACATGGAAATTCTTCAGAATTCTGAAAAAAGATCTACCATCTGACACAGTCATTTCTCCCTCTGAGCTTCCCATGCATTCTTGGTTACCTTTGTGGGAATCAACTTCCTTGGAATTCTGGGAGTTAATCATGAGTTGCAGAAAATCCACTCGGTGCTGAAAGAGAGGTCAAAGACAAGATAACCCTAGGTCAGAAGTCCATCAGGAGCTCAGCACTGTGACTGCTCTCTGAGGAGACCCCACTCAAGTCTAGAGGTGTGCCAGGAGTGGCCTGAGTCATCATCTTAATAAAATATCTTAAAATGATCATATGGTTGAAACCCCAAAACCTGGGGAAAAAAGAACTTGCTCATGCAAGTAGCATCAGATTTACCTTTTTCTTATCTTTGAGACGCTCTTCTTTAATGTTTTCCACAAAGGTTTTCAAAAAATCTGTAATATCTTTGGGGTATCTACTGATATTCAATGCTTCATATACTGGGGTAAGGAAAGGAAAGAGTGCTACAGGAAAAAGAAAAAAAAAGAAATGATAATGAAAAGCAAAATTTATGTAGCACAATTACAATCTCTGAATCAGGACAGTAAAAGTCCTCAGGGTTCTCAACAAGGAAGCATTTCCTCAGCATTATCTTTAGTCTTCAAGAACAAACACTGAACAATTGATCAACCACATACAGAGGCCATTTCTAGAACAACCATCAATGACTTTTTCTCCATTTTTGCAATGAAAGGGCCGTGGACTGAAACCCACTGGATAGAATGGCTCAAGTGACTGCAGATGAAGAACAGGGAACTGAACACATTCCTTACAATGAACTGTAGACCCATGGTGACACAACTTAGAAAACAGCCTAAGAGAAATTTAATCAGAAGTGTAATGACCAAGAGCAAAAGAAGAGACAGGCAGAAAGAATATTATCACGCCTCCTCCATAAGAAGAAGTAAAAATGTTTATCAATGGTAAAGTAAACTGAGGAATACATTGAGGAAATGGGGGATAAAGAATTTAAAACTGATATTCCTTTGCTGAGATGGTGAGGGAATGGGTAGGTGTCTGTATCAGCTCATGGGAGCCTGAGGATATGGGCTTGGTAGGGGGAGAAGGGCATATCACTTGTGGGGCACATGAGGGCCTTAGAGTTCACATCTAAGCAAGCAAGTAAACCTGGGGAATTCCTCACGTTCTTGGTGCCAGGTGAGGTGAGGAGAGGGGCAGGCAGAGCCACAGGGCAACATGTTGTCCTGGGGGCTGGTTGACCATGCCTGCAACAGTTCAATAGGCATGAATTATGGGTGAGTAAAAGGGTAAAGCAACATGTTAGCATATGTACCAGAAGCTTGGGACTCTGGGGGCAGGTAGAGCTCTGGACCAGCACACCACTCACTAGGCTTGCAAAGGTTGAGCTTCAGAACACAGGCACTGATGGGCACAATGACTGTGGATTCATTAGGGAAAGGGGTAAAGGGACATGAGGAAGGGAGGACCACTGAGGGAGTTTGTTGCAGTAAGAAATGATTCCTGACGAACTCCCGGCAACAAGGCCACTGTACTTGAGAGCTGACCATATGGAGGGGAGAGGCTGCGTCTGGGTCTGACTGATGTACTACAAAATAGGAGACCTGAGTTGGGCTTGTTAGCATTAAACACTGCTAAACACCACAGGCCAGCCCACACAAAAGCTAGGGCTAAGGTCCTTCTTGGCAGGATTAGATCACAGTATCTGTCAGTGAGTGTCATCATAGGGGAAGGGTAATATTAGGCTGGCCCATGACACCAGCACAAAAGAGAAGCAGGTCTAGGGGTAGATTCTGTGGGTGATATGTGGGTCTACTCCTGTGGAATCACAAATACTGCTGGTTAGTCTAAGATTTGGGATAGTGCTATGCTGAGCTAGGTGTGACTACGAAACTAGCAGACACTTATGGATGGGGTAGCAACAGACACAGCAGGTTACACTTGCAGAACCTGTATATGCACCACAGAATAGGGTATGGGGCAGACCAGGCCAAAGCTCATGAAAAGGCTAGGATGAAAGGGCAAGCTATGCCAGGTATGGATCTATACCACCTGGCATGTGTGAGATCTAGGTCTGGGATTGAACAAGGTGAGGAACTTTGGAACCCCCACTCCCTCAGTGGGCCATAGTTCTTGCTAGTGAGTACAAGTTTCAGGTCTGGGTAATGGGCATGCTTCTCATGGTAGCTCCACCAGATGACAAGTGTGTGGGATGGCTTTGAAAGGCTGTGGAATAGGCAGGGCCAAGCAAACCTTAACAAAATGACAAGTGCAAAAACTATGCAGGAGTTTGGATCATTCAAGCTTGACTATCATACCTACTAGTTTATATGATGCAGAGATGGGAATAGCCTGAGTAAGGCCTGGATGCAGCACTGCCTATGGGATTTGGGAGTAGGGCCAGCCAAAGCAGGCTAGGCTACAGCATCTGAAGGCAAAGCACAAGACAGGGGAGGGGGTATACTAAGCTGGGCCAGAGCAACCAGTGGCATATATATCATCTGTGTCTGGGAACAAGCCTGGTTGTGGAGTTAAGGGGTCATCCAGGCTGAGTAATGTCATACCTGGTGAGTGCAAGGTTTGAGTGGGGTCTGTAATCTGGTCTGGACATGGCTGCAATGTACCTCGGCAAGGGTGTGGACTACATATGGTGTGTGACAGACTAGATTACAATCCAGAACCTACTGGTGCTCATGAGAACCAGGGTGGGTAAAGGACAGCCATGTGTGAGCCATGCCTGGGTGTGGACCAGGCTTTGATGGGCTAAGCACCCAACAATAAAAACCCAAATGTGTGAGGTCAGGTCAGGAAAGGCCACTGTTCCTGTTAGGATAGGACATGTTTTAAGTCAAGTGGGCATGGACCCACCTGTATGTGAGAGACCTGGCACACGGACAGTATCTGATGGAGGAATTTTGAGAACTCCTTTGTTGCTACATGGTCCATGCAGGTAAGCACAATATTCAATGCAGGAAGCAGCCAAGACTAGACCAGTATATGGCTCACATTGGGGGCAACCCAGGATGGGTCAATTCATATCACCCTGTGGTGAATCTGAGCACAACAATGCAGTGTGGGTTGGACAAGTTGGACCACAATACAAACAATTTCACATTAAGGCTGGGGCTGGAGGAGGCAAGCAAGGCTGAGCCATGGTAGAACACAGACTGGAAATTGCCGATGTGAGGGGTCCATATTAGACTGGAAAACATTTAAAGCAATGAAGAACAGCGCATAGTGATCAAGGAATCCAAACAGCAAGAAGAGATCAACTGACAGGTTTATTAGGATCTTTTTTTTTTTTTTCATCTCTAAATTTACTTGTTTTTCCCTCTTGCTTTTCTTTGCTAGTCTGGGTAAAACAGTGCTTTGTTCAACTTGTTTAAAAAATAGCTTGTTCCTGAGAACCAGGACTGGAGGCAGACCTGACTAGACAGGTGCTGATACCCACTGGCAAGAGTGTGGGGTGGAGGGTGAAGTGAGCTGAGATGAGTTAGGCTTCAATGGCCAATGATGTGTACAAGAGCTGAAGGGAAGATAAGCCAGACTGAACCAATCCATTGCACTTGCTGGCAGACACAGAATCTAGGGCTTGGGTCCAGCTCAGTGGAAGTTTTGGAGGTCACTCTGAGTGGACTGTAGTTCCTAATGGTGTACATGAGGGCTGACTATGTGGAGGACAGGGTTGAGGTGAGCCATAGCACCCATTCTTTCGAGTAAGAAATGGGGCTAGAGATAATAGAGCTGGTGGAATAGGGGTATGACACATTTAAATAGACAGAAATATTAGCCAGGGTCAAGCAGAGAGGGCGCCTTTCAGGAAATAAGAGAGAACAGACTAACATCAGAGAGACATTTGGAGACTGATAGACACAGCAAAGCAGTGAATACAATGGTGTGGTGCTGCAGTGACTGAATACACCAGTAGCATTCAGCGAGTGGTGATTTGAACTGCACCAGGAGTCAGAAATCCACCAGGAACCAAGTGAGAAGTGGAGCTCATTGAGAACTCAGGAGGTGAACCAAGTCAAAGCATTGCCCAACCTGCTGGTTTGTTTGAGTTAACCAGGAGCAGAGACAGAGAAGCAGATTTCAAATAGGTAGTGCCAGAACGGGGTGGATTTTATAAGCTAAGTCCACTAAAGCCAAATTGAGTGCCCTCTTATGTAGGGAGGCAATGGCTATGGGACAGAACTGTGCATGAACCAAGCTGTAAGTCAACTAAATTCTCGCTCAATGAACTGCAAGTTTCACCCAAAATAGGTCCAGGTAGCCTCCAGACCTACTGGCCATCAGATGAAGAAATCCTCAAGCTTAACATGAGGTGTCATTTGGTACAGTGTGGTAAAAGCTTTGCCACTTTAGGGATAAGAGTGAGCTGCACATAGCCTATCATCTTGGAAATTACGTGAACTGAAACTAAGAGAAGCATTCAACAGACAACGGTGCAAGAATAGTACTGGGTTACAGGAAATAGAGAATGGTGAGCCAGGAGCTGAGCTATGCAGACCATGGTAGAAGTCTAACAGAAAAGCACAGATATGAGACTAGCTGGAGGAAGTGGTAAAAGTGACTGCAAACAAACCACTGTGTACCAACCACAATAAGTATAATTGAGTCGCAGACCTGTGGGTGACAGAGTTTGGAAATCTGCCCCATAGAGATGAATCTGATAATCAGAAGCAAAATGACCAAAAGCGAAAGATGACACAAAAGCACAATTGATATTATTGAAGAATCCCCTGCAGAGGAGCAAAAATCTTGGCCAACCTTAGGGATCATTGAGGAAGACATCGAGAAAATGGAGGATACCGAATTCAAAACACTTGTTTTAAAGCTTCTTATCAACATCAAGAAGCACTTAAAGAAGGCGTTCAAGGAATTTCAGGCATATATTACACAGGAAATAGCAGGAATGGATCAAATGAAAGCTGATATATCAGAAATTAAGAATAGAGTGGGCGGGCCCTGTGCTGTGGCGCAGTGGTTAAGGTCCTCGCCTTGCATGCCCGGGATCCCATATGGGTGCCGGTTCTATCCAGGCTACCTGTTTCCCTTCCAGCTCCCTGCCTGTGCCTGGGAAAGCAGTCTGGGACAGCCCAAAGCTTTGGGACCCTATACCAGCGTGGAAGACCAGAAGAGTCTCCTGGTTTCGGAGTGAAATAGCATCGGCCGTTGCGCTCACTTTGGGAGTGAATCATCGGACAGAAGATCTTCCTGTCTCTCCTCTCTGTATATCCGTGTTTCCAATAAAAAAAATAATAAAAATAAATCTTTAAAAAAAAGAATAGAGTGGAGCAAATTAAAAGTACAGCAGAGAATCTCCAAAATGTAATGAAGGAAGCAGAAGAAAGAATTGCAGAATTGGGGAACTTTCTCTCAGCAAGGGGAACAAGCAACAAGCTGCAAGCAGAGCTGGGTCAAGCTGAAAAAACTACTCAAAAACTGAAAAACACTACCCAGTACCTACAACTGTGTCACATAA